AGGATCCAGACAAAACAGTGTTCCCCAAACTTCAGTCTCTTCTTCACTAACTTCAGGCTTTTTTGCCACGTTCACATCAGTGTGAATTCACCTAATATTTACCTGATATTCTTCATATTTTCTTTAAATTCATTTACCTGATATTTTCTTTAAATTCACTCACGTTTTTCATTTAGCTTAACAGAGAAACTTTTCCATACTTTGAAATAGTTCGGAAGTAAAAACATTTTCAAAGTTAGCTCGTCACAAGCAACAAGTAACCATAAAGATAAAAGCAAAACGTGTTACTATTAAGTCCTAGCATGATCCTGTTGCCAGCTGCACGCTCTAAGCCAAAAGCCTGTTCTGATAAACATGGAGACACGCAAATTTCAGAAAAGTGTTCAAGACACAGTAGCACCAAAGTAGAACTTTCTCCATGACCCAATCCAAAGACAGGACAGGCAACTTAGACAGAAAATAACTTCATGATGATTCAATGTGGCTTAAGGTCTTGTTCTACCTGAAAGCACCTCTCATCACCCCCGACCTAGAGTATATTCCGTAGTCTTGGCAAACTAAATATGATCTAAAACATGAAACGGATCATTTGGTCCCCTGCTTCAAACGTGGCCATGGCTCTCCACTGCCCTCAGGTAAAGAACGGGCTCCCTAGCAGCCTAGACTAGAAACACACACTCACCGCCTCTCCCTTTCATCCTGCCTCTTTGGGCTCCCCCTTCCAAATGGTAGGTCCCAGCCACACTGAAACACTTGTACCATACTCTCTCAGTGCTACCCAGCATTCATGCTAGTCCTCTGCAAAAAAAAACTATTCTCCTTTGCCTCTCACTCCTCCTTCAATCAAAATATCCCCTCTTCCAGGAAGTCATGCCTATCCCCCGCCCCCAGCAAAGTCAGGCATATCATCCTTTAGCTTCCAACATCACAGCCTTGACCACTGAGAGCTCCCTAAGAGCTGGGCCCAGGCTATCTCAGGCACTGCTGGGTCCCCAACATCACCCAGTCCACGGATGGGAACAGAAGACAATTGAAAGATCTGTTTAGTACCTATCCCTAATCCACAATGTCCCATATCTTACCAGCTCAACCCACAACAGGACCACAGCCTGATTTCAAGGAACCTTGTCATCATTCCCCTGGCTCAGTCCCAGCAAAACCCTCTCTCCAAACCTGAGGGCTCCCCAGTCCCTGAGAAGAGGACTCCCGTTACTATCTTTGTGTTATCTTGGGGCTTGAATGCGCTCTTAACACTGTCCGTCCTCACAATCCCCTGAAGGAACCATCTGTTTATAAAACTATCTCCACCCCAAGACAGAGAGCTCCATGAGGGAGCCAGTGATCCCAACATGATAGAAACTAGGAACACTTGTTCAATGAATGAATGAGCAGGTTACTGGGGCTGCGAATGGTGAAACAGATCATTCCCCCAATAGCGGCTCATCATCTGCCATCCCTACCTTCTTCGTTCTACAGGGCCTGGTCCTTCAAGGATATGCTAACTTCTGGCTGTCCAAAAAGCCTATCTAGTCCCATCTCTGACTGGCCTCTCGCTGTTGTCCTCTTGCTTCATCTGGTGACAGCAGATAGGCCAGGAGGTGAGTCAGGAGCCCGGTGTGGTGTTGGGGAAATGACATTTGGACATAGCAAACCAGATGTCGCAGCCAGGAAAAGGACCCCGGGATCTTGATCTCATTAAATCCACCAGGATTTAACCACAAGCAATGCCCTGAAGCCATGAGTCAGAGAGACCAAGAACCCAGTGCTACTGCTTGAAACAAAAGCCCTTCCTAGCATCCTCCCATTTGCCTCAGGCCCACCATGGCTTCCCAATTCCTCCAACTCTTCAATGGAAGCTGAGGACGCCCCAGGGGGCACAAGGATTGACAATCAAATGCCTACAGAGATCAAGAAAAGAACCAAAGTAAGGAGGACAGCTCAAAGGAAACCCATGGCACTCTCTGTCTACCTGATATTTCCCAGGACACAAGTACATGAAATCTTTCCTTTACTTAAGTCCCCCATAAGGTAGGCATGACGATAAATGGCAACTGATATATCCCAGGAACTGGGAGAAAATTCCCCATTCTCCAGCAGGCTGATACTTCCTGAGCAAAGAGCTGCTAGGTAGAACAATCCTGGGTCTCAGGTTGCTGGCTTCTCTCACTTTCCCAGAAAAATCATGATTTTTACATGAAATAGCCCTTACAAGTGATGGCAACTAACTTTAAAAAATTGATTTACGTTTCTGGAGGTTAAAGGAGACATATACAATCATCGAGTCATCTTTTTATTAGTTTGTTAACTGTTGCCTACTAAGTGTAAAGTCCGTGAAAGCAAAGATTTGCCTTGCTCCACTCTCTCCAACACCTGGAAGAATCTGGAACACAGGAGTAGATGCTCAAACATTTATTTAATCAACAAATAAGTCAGAAATAAACAAAAGAAGAAAACAGTTAATAGCAGCATATTTAAAATCAGCTATGTCCCAGGAAATATTTATTTGGTTCCTGAAATAGTAACGTTCAATAGATCCAAAGCCAGAGTGATCCTTTCCAAAACATGAGATCACACCCCGTCTTTGCTCCAAAACTTCTCACGGCTCTGTCGCACTCAATCAGGACAAATTCCTCACCAGAACCTTCAAGATCCTATATGATCTGGCTCCTGCTACTTCTTTGTTGCACTCACTCTGATCCAGCCAAACTCGACTCCTTGTTACTTCTTGAACATGCAGACACGCTCCCAACTTTGCATGTGCTGCTTCCCCTTCCTCTTACCGCAACACTTTTCCTCCACACGACTCACTCCCTCAACTCCCACAACATCTTTTTTCAAACATCACCCTCTCAGACTCACCTTATTTAAAACTGACCAAGACTCCCTATTGCCCTTCACTTTTCTCCAGGGTACCCTCTGCCTTATTAAACCATAAACTTATCAGTTATGTTTATTTACGATCACAGAGGCAAAGACTTTCAAAATCTGTTTTGTTTACTGGTGCAACCCCCTGACAAAGAATTGTGCCTAGTACACAGTAGGCACTAAAAATATATTTTCGAAACGACGGAGCACACTTCTTCATAAAAACTAACAGTGAGTGCTTGCTATACGCCAGGTCCTTTATACACATTACCTGTTACTTCACTGTACCTGGGGCATCCCCGGCCTCCCGCACCTGTCCCTCTGCTTGACTTAGGCTTACCTACTTCTCTATCACTACCAACAGCCTGGAAGCTCCCAGAGGCCAGAGCTCGTTCTGATCTCCTCTGAGCTCCCATAGGGGCCTTTCTGCCCTGGTCCTGTCCCCAGGCGCTATGCCTCCCCACCATGTCCCAGCCACACACCTCGGCCTCCTCGCCGTCACTGCTGCGCTCGCTATCCTCCTCCTCGGAGAAGTTGCTGTCCTCACTGTCCGACATCTTCTGCTCTTGCAGGAAAAGACGGCGGCCTCAGTGCGTCCTCCAGACAGGAGCCCCACCCCAGCCTCAGTTTCTCTGCCAGTTCCCGGGAGAAGAAAAATCCCTTAGCGCACTTCCGGCAGCCTCGTTCTGGCAACCGTGAGCCCGAAAGGCTACCCCTTAAGCCACCTGCTACACCTTCCGTTTCCCCGAATCCGGGCTCTAAGCCTCCCTGGGCCCCGGCGACCCCCAGTGCTGCTACCTAGGCGTCCGACCCACCCCTCACCGCTCCGGTTTTTATTTCAGCCTTCGGCACCAGCAGCTGTTCACACGACGCCTGGCTGGGACTGACGTGCCCTCTCGCGAGAACCTACCCGTTGGCCTCGCCTAACGCGAGATTTCCGGAGCTAATCTCCGGCGACGCACTTCCGGGACGCCATCTTGAAAGTGGCAGATCTATCTTAACGTAGAGCATGGAGTCGACATCTTGGGAGGGTCAAAGAGGGGTTAAGGTACTCCTCTTCACCGACCCGCATTTCCAGCCAGGAATTCGTGCTTGAATTTACTAATGCGGTGTGCCAAGCCGTGAGGAGTCATGGAATGACCAAATAATAACGGATTAGCAAATAAATCAGACTTTATCTCCTAGACCCCCTAAAACATTCTTAGGAGGTAAGTACCCCCATTTTGCCGACAAGGAAACTGAAGCTCGGAGAAATAAACTAACTGCACAGTGGCGGACCTAAGACTCCTCCCCAAGTTTAGGTGACCCTGAAAATCCTTGTTTTCCTTTACAAATCCCTAAGTTTAAATCAATGTGAATTTACATATTAGTAATTATTTGTCTGACGGTGGCAAAGAGGACCGGGCATGAGAGAGAGATAAGAAAAATGAATCTGATGAAGGGGAAAAACAAATCAGAAACTTTTAAAACACATTGCTAAAATTTCTTGCGTAAGCATTGAGACACCTGGATTCAATTTACAGAAATTTAATATGCGCCTAGTTTACAGGGTAGCATGGTGTGGTTGGGCAACCAGCTGGCTCGCAAGACCAGGAAATGACTATACCACAGGTGCGTGACTATATAAGCACACACTCCCTGATCCAACAATCCCAGACTGAAACCAAGACAGACTGGGGAGGGGCTGTCGCTAACAGCAGCTCTTCAAAATAGGATTCCACATATAAAATGCCTATTGACATTGCTGTAGGAAGACATTTACTCCAGGAACAAGAAGGAACAGTAATTTCCTCCCCATAGAAAGTTCTTCCTTGGCGTATCAGTGGTTCTCAAGGCTCAACCCCAGCGGTACATAAGAAGATGCAAGAAGAGAGCTATGCACAGTAGACCCAGAGTTGAAACAACCCAATATCCATCATGAGGACAGTGGATAAACAAATTGGGTGTGTCTATACAATGGAATAGTAATAAACTGCTGCTGTGCACATGAATGAATCTCAAAAACATCATGCCGAGTGAAAGAAGCCAGACACTAGGATAAATATATAATATATATAATACATATATCCATATTCTAATTCCATTCATATGAAACTTTAGAAAAAGCAAAACTGGTCTATACAGACAGCAGATTAGTGGGTGTCTACAACTGGTGAAGATTGCCTGGGGAGGGGCATGAGGGATGCTTTGGGGTGATGGAAATGTGGCTGTGTATACATTTGTCAGAACTCATTGAAATGTACACTTAAAATGTATGCTTTTTACTATATGTCAAATATACCTCACTGAAGTTGATTTTAAAACTATGATGTTCAGGATCCACCAGAGACCAATTATCAAATTCTCTGGATTGGGGCCTAGCCATCAGTATTACTTTAAATCTCTCCAGGTGGTAATTCTTTGCAATCAGGGACTTGAGGTACAAGACTCTCCCTGTCTCTAGGGGTGGGATTCAGTTAGAAGACACCTGTGTCATGCTTTGTCCCTTCCTGGAAGAGGAGAGAGGAGGGAGTATCTGAGAGGGAGAATAGGGGCAAACGGGGGCCAGTTTATCTATCCCCCCACCCCAGGAGGTCAGAGACTTCAGGCTTCGGATCTTATTTTCCCCCTTCTCTCCTCTTCCCCTTGGCTCCTTGGGCTGCACATGAAGTCCTTTGGCCTAAAAGGAGAGGGAGAGAGGGCTTAGGACTCTAGCTGAGGCTAGAGACCAAGTCCTCTCTCCCTCTCTCCATCCAGCCTCTCCAGCAGTACCAGGGAGTCTGTGTCCTCCCAGGCTCATGCTGAGGGCCGGTGCCGAGCACAGGCCCCCTGTAATAACTCTAAGAGTTTGGCCAGAAAGAGAGGGACAGGTCTCTGGGGATGTCCTTCGCAGGGTGGACAAGGGCCCTGGCCAGTCACCCACAGCCGGGACCCCAGTGCATCCAGCAGACGCTGCAGCCGGAACACGGCAATCCCCAAGGATGGGCCCTCTTCAAACTGGATCACGGACAGCTCCAGCCGGAAGCACCCTAGAGTCTCAGCAGGACACACCTGTGGGAACAGAGTGACTTGGTGTCTCTGGGCAAGGGTCTGAACCCAAATCCCCAACCCTGGGGTTTCTGAACCATGGCCTAGGATAAGCCCCTTCACCTCTTTGGCCCTCAGTTTCCTCATCTGTAAAACAGGACTCTGAAGAATTCCTACCTTGAGGGCTGACACTAGCCTATACCTAGAAAATGACACTGCTTTCTTAAAACACTTGGAAGTGCTTGTTAGAACAAGATACATTACTGCTATCTACCAGAAATTGACAAATGTATCCAGGGTGTGAATACTGCCCTTGTTGATGCGGGATCCTTGTGCAATATACATTCTTCACATCCATATGCGGTGGCCCTATCTACCTCATAGGGTCAGTGTGAAGAGTAAATAAGTAAATAACCAACTCTTGGTTTCGGCTCGGGTCATGATCTCAGGGTCCTGGGATTGAGCTCTGCGTTGGGCTCCCCACTCAGTGGGGAATCTGCTTGGGATTCTCTCCTTCTCCCTCTCCCCACTGCTTGTGTGTATGTGCTTGCTCTCTCTCAAATAAATAAATAAATCTTAAAAAAAAAAATAGGTGTTGGAAACAGCAGTGAACAAACCGTATTTGTGAAGGCTGGGAGTTGGGTCAGCAGCTGGACAGCCAGAACACCAGCCCCATTGCCTCCTACCCCCAACATATGTTCTGAGCCTAGTGGATTCTCCCTAAACTTCCAAGGTCCAGTAAGGAGCTAATGAAATACTCACCGAGAGATCATCTGGGGTGTAGAGAGTGCCATCATTTTTGTTTCCCTATAATTTGGGGCAGGGAGAAGAATCAGATCTTGGAGGGGAGAGACTGACCCTTCCTCAAACATGCCCTCCCACCCCCTCCCTGCCTGTCTGCTGTCTTTCCCCTCCCTCTTCCTCACCAGCATCTTCATTATGGCAACTAGGAAGTAGAAAGGCTCCCGAGGACAGAGGGGTGATCCTAGGCCTCCCAAGGGCCGTACCAGGAGGAGGATGGTCCAGAGAGGCCACACAGGCACTCTGCCCACCCCCCAGGCTTTCTCTGGTCCCAGCCCAGCGTCCTGGAAGCAACAAGTACAGAGAGACAGAGCAAGTTAGAAGACTGAAGTGTTTTGACCCCTTCCTGCCCAGCTCTATTCAACCCAAAGATACTCAGGGAATGTTCTCCAAGAGCCCCAGCGGAAGATGGTCACCCTACAGTAGGGAGGGTCCAGGTCAGAGGGTTCCCTGACACCTTTCCCCCACCACCCACAGGACGATATAAGTCTCAGCAAGGGCAGGAGGATCAGCCCAGAGAGATTGCAGGATTTGGGGAAGTCCCGTCCCACCCCCCTCCCCCAACAGGTCCATAAGGTAGTACAGAATGTGTGAGAGTATGTGAATCCTGTGGCCTGTCTTCTCATTGGAAAACACCCCTGCTAGGCTTTATCTGTGTTTGCAGGTGCATATTTGGGGGCCTTTGCTCTCCTTTCTACTTCTATTTCTGTATCAGGTATTTCCATATTTGAAATATCTTGGAATCTCCATGCTTCCCTGTACCTGTCCGTCTTCTTTCTCTGAGGGCTGGCCTCTCTGCCTCCGAATCGCCGTCACTTGTGTTTTCTGGGTCCATCTGTAATTGACCCTGTGTCTGTCTTCTTTCTCCTCTTCTTCATTGGCCCCTTCTTTGTCTTTCTCCATGTGTGCCTGTCTCTCTTGTGCTGTGTATCGGTCTGTGTCCCCCCAGGTCAGCCTCTGGGTGCTCCCTCCCTCCACCTCTCCCCTCTCTCACCCTTTTGGAGCTGGACTCTGGGCTTGAGGATCCTCCCTCCTGCCACAGACCCACCCACCAACCTCCACCCCCTCTCTCCACCTTCCAGGCTCAAGGTAAGTCACCACCACCCTTTGAACCTTGCACCTCTGACTCAGTGCTGCCAGAGAAACGAAGCAACCAACCGTGGGCTCTCTGCGGCTCTGAGAGAGAAGCCTTTTGCCTGGGAAGGGAGTATGCTGAGTGTGGGGGAGCAGAGGGGCAACTCAATCCTGAGGTTCCTCAGATGGGATGGGGGGATGCTGGGGATGGAGAGTTCTGGGGGGGGAGGAGCCTGGAGAGTAGGGTGATTTGCCGGAGGAAATGAAGAGATGATTTGAAGGACCCTAGAGAAAGAGGGATTCTAGGGTAGGGACCCCTGAAGGGGGGCATTCTGGGGGGAGGGTCTCTAAGGAGTGGAGAATCGAGGGGAAGCCAGTTGCTGGGAAGAGGAGGCTTTGAAGGGAAAGGAATTCTTAGGAAATGTAGATTTGGAAGGAGGGGGCTCCGAAAGCGAGAGAGATTTTGTGAAAGGGGATTCTAACGGGGCTGTTCTGGGAAAGGTGGATTGCGGGCAGAAGTAGATTCTGGGGCTCTTGAGTGGAGGAGGATTCAGGGAAAGAGGAAGTCTGGGTGAGGGCTCCGAGGAGGGGGATTCTGGGAGGAGGAGACTCTAAAAGGAAGGAAATGCTGGTGAAAGGTGGATTCTGGGCGAGGGGCGCTAAAAGGAAAGATTCTGGGAGAGGGCTCTCGGAGGAGGTGGGTTCTGAATCCTGAATCTGGAAATCCTGCCTGACTTCCTGCTGTGGATTCTGATGGAGGATGATTTGGGGAGAAGGGTGTCTAGAGGGCAGGATGGAGTCTACAGAGGAGGATGACCAGTGGTACGGGGTAAAAGGAGGCTCTTCGGAGGAGGGTGAGCCTTGATCTTTGGGTGGAGGAAGATTATTAAAGAGCCGAAATGCAAATGAACCGGCGGTGACCAACGAGGACCGAGAATGTGAAGAACAGCCCGCCCTCATCCTTCCGCGATTGCACCCAGCGCACCTCAGGCCCCGCCCGTTCCACTCCCAGGTCCCGCCTCCTCCGGTTCTGGGACCCACCTTCCTGCCGCTCTTCCGAAGTCCCGCCCTCTGGCTGCAATATGAGCCGTAAGGCGCTCTCCCGTCGCGACGCAGCACCCAAAGCGCCTGCGCAGACCCTGAAAAGCGGCCGGGGTGGCCCCGCATATTCCTTTTCCGGTTGCGGCACCGCGCGGTGAGGAGGTCTTACGTTCGCAGCCATGCCGTCCAAGGGTCCTCTGCAGTCCGTGCAGGTCTTCGGACGCAAGGTAGGCTGGGTGCCCGATCGGAGGGGCGGAGGGAGGCCGGGGTCTTCAGGGGCCTACGGGCAGGTTCTGGGGGTCGATCTGGGATCCGGGGGCCGAAGCTCACGTGGCTCCGCTGTTTTTTCTCGCTTTCCGCAGAAGACGGCCACAGCCGTGGCGCACTGCAAACGCGGCAACGGCCTCATCAAGGTGAATGGGCGGCCCCTGGAGATGATCGAGCCTCGTACGCTGCAATATAAGGTGCTGGCATTGAGGGTGGGCGATTGGGTTGAGTGGAGGGCTCGAGAGAGAGAGAGAGAGAGAGTGAGTTAAATGGCTTCCTGGGATTCATTGGTCTTGGAAGCTGAGGGATCTGGTATCAGCAGTGGGATGTTTAGAAGCTGAGTTGGGGACAGAAAAAGGGGTATTTGGAGATGGAGCTGGATTTTCGGGGGGCTCAGATACTGTGATAAGAGCGGACAGAGTGAAAACGTGCAGATTAAAAGGGTGCTTTCAAAATTGGGACATTTGGAACCCCACTCATTTGGGGACTGAAGGATAAGGGGAGCTGGTGCGGCTTGGTTTCTTGTAGTAAGTTAATGGGGGACGTGTGTCGTATTTACAGTCTAAAGTCTCTGTTCCATCCTAGAGTATACACTCTCTGAGAACAGAAATCAATTGGTTTCTTAAAACATTGTGTCTAAAAGTAGAGTTTGGACATTGTGGGTGCTTAATAATCAAATATTGGAAGAACACGAACAGAATTTGGGTTTGTCGTGCTTTGCTGTGAAAGGGGTTCCTCCCCTGCGAGTTTTGGCCTCAGTTTCTTGAGCTCAGAATGGAAAGAGCAGGGTTTGTTTTTTGCCTCTTTTACCTGTGTTGTTATTTGAGGCAAGTAACTTCATTTTTCTCCCTTGGGTTCATTTATAAAAGGGATAATTTTCTGTCTTGAAGGACTGTTTTGAGGATAGATTAGTTTGTCGGTGTAAGCTCCTTAGTGCGGATGAGAACGCATTTGTTCTTTTTTTTTTTTAAAGATTTTATTTATTTGAGAGAGAATGAGAGAAAGAGAGAGCATGAGAGGGGGGAGGGTCAGAGGGAGAAGCAGACTCCCTGCTGAGCAGGGAGCCCGATGCGGGACTCGATCCTGGAACTCCAGGATCATGACCTGAGCCGAAGGCAGTCGCCCAACCAACTGAGCCGCCCAAGAACGCATTTGTTCTTTAAAGTGCGTTGCTTTTACTTTATTTTTATTTTTTTTAATTTTAGTGTACTCGAAATGCAACGTTAGTTTCTGGTGTGCAAGGTATTAATAAAAGTCTGTTACCTTTCTAACTCTGAAAAACAACATTTGTGTTGCAGGTTTAGTTAGAATTTAATATGACAGTGTCTGGGATCCCTTTGCATTGCAGACATCGAACGTTGCGGTTTACTCTTACTAATTGTCATTTGTACAAATGTTTTGTTTGTGTAGTTTACGTTGAGTGCTGGGGACACAGCAGTGATCCAGTTATCCCCAGGCCCTGCCTTCATAGAGCTCCCAGTCCAGTGGAGAAGACAGACTGGACTCAGTACCAGACCCTGCCGCAACATAGTCCGGGCTGGGATGGGGGAGCCCAGAGAAGGCTTCCACCTGGGTGGAAGGATCAGGATAGGCTTGGGGGAGGTGGAGGTGAATGTGGGGATCTGTGAGCTGAGACCTAAAGTAGGTAAAACAAAAGCATCAGGGCTCACTCAGCTGCCCGGGTTGTGATCTAAAATCCTGTCATGTCCCCTGTTCCTTCAGCTACTGGAACCCGTTCTGCTTCTGGGCAAGGAGCGATTTGCCGGGGTGGACATCCGAGTCCGAGTGAAGGGTGGTGGTCACGTGGCCCAGATTTATGGTGAGTCCCAGGAACTGGGCACGTGGGGGTGGGGAGGTGACAATTGAGAGCAGGGCCCTACTCTTGGGCCTTCACAAAGCTGAGAACACTCTCTCGTGCATGTATTTCCCTCACAGCAATCCGCCAATCCATCTCCAAAGCCCTGGTGGCCTATTACCAGAAATGTGAGTGAGAATGGCTCCTTCCTGATGGGTGGGTGGGTGGCAAGTGGAGGACCAGCCCCCTGTCTTTAGCCTGAGAGACTAGGAGGGCGCTTCCATGGCTATCTCAGTCTTCATTCTCTTTTCATTCCCAGACGTGGATGAGGCTTCCAAGAAGGAGATCAAAGACATCCTCATCCAATACGACCGGACCCTACTGGTAGCTGATCCCCGGCGCTGCGAATCCAAAAAGTTTGGCGGTCCTGGTGCCCGTGCTCGCTACCAGAAATCCTACCGATAAGCCTATCGTGAGGATGAGGGTTCATCTTTATAATAAACAATTGTCACGGGACTTAATTGTGCTTTGGTCGTTTGTGGTGGGTCTTGGACTAAAACAAATGCAAAAAACACCCCAGCCCAATGCCAGTCTGGATCGTAAGCCTTCCTAGAAGACACCACTCCAGGGTCAGTGTGGATGGGTGGGAGAGGCAGGTGGGAGCAAGCCTCCTCCCAGTCTCCCTGCACCTCCAACAGAGTCCAGTGTGTGGGCACAGTGGAAGCCAAGTGGGCCATTGGTTGTGTGAGGTGTCCTTGTGAGTTTGTCTTTTTTCAGTCCCTTTGCTGCTCTTGTAATGGCGTGTCGAGGAGCGGTAGAAACGTGTACGATCAGTAAACTTGAATATGAAGACAGGAGAAACCTCCTGGGTGCATTCTGAAGTCAACCACTAAGGGCCGCGCCTGGATTGGAAAGGAATTTTTCCTAGTGCCAACCTGTAGGGAGACAGGTTTGGGATGTGGGGAAGGGGTGGGATTTCCCCCTGACTGATCCATCTTTCAGGATGTCAATACTCCCTCCTGGGAAAAGGTCCTGGTTGCACTCATTGTAGTGACTGTCCTTACAGGGCTCAGAACATGTGTCTGAGGACTTGTTCATCTGTTGTGCGTGCCGTGTAGTAAGAGCCAACACGTAGTGGGCTCTCAGTTGCTACTCAGGGGCTACACAGGACGTTTCCCTTGTCGAAGAACGTTCTGTGGGACAGCACTGGTTTATGTGTATAGAGAAGTAAAGTGTTGCTTGTGGATTCAGTTACCTTTGGTCCTCTCCCCTACCCCCCCACCCTTTGCATTTTTGCAGGAAGCCAGTGAGCTTCATTGAGTGGAAAGGGCATCTCCGCCCACATTAGCCTTGCAGCCACCTGGATACCTCAGCCATCTGTCCCCAGGTGGGGGCCCACACCACTCCCCCTGCTGCTGGGGGTACTGGCAAGAACGTTGTAAGGCAGTTCGACATTGATGGAGGAGGGAAAGCTTTACAAATTATATATATACATATATATATATAAAAGAAGGGACTTGTCCAGTTGCCCTTTTTGTATCTGCCCCACTCAATACATTAGCCACATGGGGCTGCCGTACCGGGCTGCACAGATGAGAGAACGTTTCCATTGTGAGGAACATTCTACAGGACAACATGGATCTACAGGAAGTATACATGGATAGTGCTGCTTACAGATGGACAGTGGGGTTGATTGGCACCAATTAGGTCCCCAGCTAAGCATTGTTCCTGTGAGGTTGGTGGCAGGCAGATGTCTAGATGTTAGGTAAGGAAATGAGCCTAGTGGCCACATAACTGCAGCTC